TCTACACTTCAGTATGGTGATAGTTGGGATAAGAGTCTGCCTTACGCAGAGTTCTCGTACAACAACAGTTATCATAAAAGTCTCAAGATGGCACCTTTCGAGGCGTTGTATGGACGTAAGTGTAGAACGCCTTTGTTTTGGAATCAGACTGGAGAAACTCAAGTGTTTGGTCCCGATGTCCTTAGAGACATGGAAGAACAAGTGAGAATGATTAGAGACAATTTGAGAGTAGCTCAGTCCCGACAGAAGAGTTACGCTGATACCCACAGAAGAGAGCTGACTTTCGAGATTGGTGATTATGTGTACTTGAAAGTGTCACCAATGAGAAGTGTGAGAAATTTCAATATGAAGGGAAAGTTAGCACCAAGGTATATAGGACCTTTTAAGATCCTAGAGAGATGTGGAGAGGTAGCTTATCAGTTGGAACTGCTTGAGAGTTTGTCCGGTGTGCATGACATGTTCCATGTTTCCCAAATGAAAAAGTGTCTGAGGGTACCAGAAGAACAGATTCCTTTGGAAGAACTTGCTGTCAAGGAAGATCTTACTTATGAAGAGTATCCGATAAAGATCTTAGAAACTGCCGAAAGGGTTACGAGAAGCCGAATAGTAAAGATGTGCAAGGTGTAGTGGAATCGGTATACAGAGGATGAGGCTACTTGGGAAAAAGAAGAGGATCTGAGAAAGACTTATCCCCAACTGTTTGAGTAAGCAATCACCCGAATCTCGAGGACGAGATTCATCTTAAGGGGGTAGAATTGTAACATCCTAAAATTTGCATTCTTTTAAAATTAGTAAATATGATTTATTTAAGCAAATGTGTGTGCATTAAAAGACAGGGAAATAATAAATTTTGTGGAATTAAAATTTAAAAATAAGTTTAGAAACTTTTTGATGCATACATGCTGCTGCATATCATTTTGTGAATGTTTGGAATTTGTTAAAGATTTCAAAAAGAATTGAAAGTTGAATTTAAAAAGGGTTTTGGAAAATAGAAGAAATAGAAAAGGAAAGAATCATTTTTCCTCTCCTTTCTTGAATTTGGCCCGCTGGCCCCTCTCTTTTCCCCGTGGCCCAGCACCACAGCCCGGTACCAGCCCCAGCCCAGCTTGCCTCCCCGCCCCGCTCGGCCCAGCACCGCGCCAACCGCCAGCCCAGCCGCGTGCCTCGGCCGCTCGGCCCAGCAAGCCACGCCAGCCCATCACCGCGCCAGGCAACCGTCGCCCACGCTCCCCCGTGCCCTGCCGCTGACGCCCGGGCCCCGCTTGTCGGCGCCGTCTTCATCCCCACGTGCCTCGGAACCACCCACGCCCGGCCTGGCCGCAACTGCCGCCCACGACCGGCATCGTGGGAGCGCCCCCCTCCTTGCGCCCTGGCTGCTACAAATAGCAGCCGAGCCATCCCCCGCGCACCCTACTGCTCCCCGCTCTCGTCTTCGCGCTCGCCAAGCACCGAGGAAGCCCGCAACCGCCGCAGCCGAAGGTCGCCGGAATCTGCCGTCTTCTCCCTCGCACAGACCGTCGCCGCCGTGCTTCGCCGTCCTCCTTCTTCCCCGTGGTGAGAACCCCCGGCCTCCCTCTATCTCCCGGAACCTCTATTTTCTCCTTTCTTGGCTTCTCGAGCCCTGGACACGAGCTCCGCGAGCCATGGTCGCCGGCCATGGTGGCCACCGCGCTACCCGTCGTTCCCGGCCGCCATATCGGCATGGCCGAGACCCCCTTCCTCCCCCGTATCCCCCGGTGCGCTCGGATTTCCGTTTGGTGAACCCTAGCCCCTTACCGCGCGCGACCGAGACCTCCACGCCGCCGGCAATGGCGCCTCACCGCCGGTGTCACTGTGGCCGGCCGGAATTCTTCTCTCTCCCTCCCCAAGTCTAATCTGAACCGCTCGATTCTAATCCAACGGCCGAGATCAGCCGATACCCCTTCGCGTGGCTGTTTTACAAAAGAGACCCTGGACTTTTCTAAGTCCTAACCCGCAGTCCAAGGCGTATTTTCCCGAGTGCGCAATCTCGTTTGGAAAACGTAAACTACACGGTTTAAGTCAAAAATACGTTTTCAGTATTTACAGAAATGCCATTTAAACTGTTTCTCTTATAAAATTATCGTTTTAGCTCCGAATTGGTCCATTCAAATCGCGTTAGCTTCGTAATTTCATAAGCTACATGTTGGAACTACTGTTAGTCAAGTTTGGAACTTTTTAATTTCATGATTAGATTTAATTAAATATATGGCTATAGGAAAACCTGTTTAAATCATAACTTTCACATTTTAGCTCCATTTTTCATGAACTTCGCGTTGACGTGGTCGTAGCGAGACGTAGATTATGTTTACAAACATTTTATCTTGTTTTCAATACTGTTGGTGTACTGTTCTAATGATAGGAATGTTTGCTTTGCATGAATGCTTTTGGAATGTTGTATGTTGCTGTGTTGGTCGCGTTCAGACGGTGAGGAAAACGTTGGAGACCAAGAACTCTTCGACGACCAGTAGGACCAGCACGAGTTTGTGAACCAAGGCAAGTATAGCATGGGCCTTCCTTGATATCCTATTTCACTTTAATCAATTACTCATTTGCATGTGTCTAATTTTGATACCCGTAAGGACATCCTAGTGATTGTTTATCTTGTTCCTTGTCTCCTATGGGTTAAATGCATATGGGTAGATTGCTAGTGCTCTAACTAAACTTGATATACATGATGATGAATGATACTATGGAACTAAGAGTTTAACTTGAATTATAACAACTGTTCCATAGGGCGAAGGTGCAAATGACCTTTGTTCATGTTACTCCCAGCTCTCCATAAGGACTTATCTGTCGGCAAAAGCTGGGACTGACAGTGCAACCGGGAGAGTCATATGGCTCTGACTTAAGCTCAGTAATAGGATCTTTTCTAGCTAGTTAGAGGTTACCTTTTTGGCGGAAATGGGGCTTGCCACGTTGGGTATAGGGCTGCCTATGTTCCTATGAGTATAGCCGCGATGGATATGTGCCATAGGAAAGGGGGGTTCCTACATCTGCCTGCCAAGGAAACCTTGCGGCCCTAACTTGTTAGAGAAACCTATGAAATGGCTTCATAGTGTACCCTATCCGCTCACCTTGGTAGTGACATGGGAGTAATTAACCGGGGCATATGGGGATCATGACTCGCGGTGAATGTGCACCACCTCTGCAGAGGGTAACAAACTGTTATAACAGCCGTGCTCATGGTCATGAGCGACCCAGAAAACTCACAGAATAACTGAATACTTGTTGTTGATCATTTAAGTTGTTCTATGATGATATATGGTACACTTGACACTGATATATGTTTTTATGGGATTAAATGGAAGCTTAAGCATAACTTGATAATACATGAGAATAAAAGCTTGACTCACTAAAAATGCTAACTGCAGTAAACCTGTGTCAACCCTTTTTGAGCTTCATAACCCCATGTTAGCTTGTTAAGTACGGGATGTACTTACACTTGTTTATTTTCTTTATTTGGATAAAAATCCCGGATGGGTAACAGATGACAACGGGTATGAGGAATTCCCGGAGGATTTTTAGGCTTGTGGTCAACCAGTTGACCTTCCCTGTGATGAAGCCCACGAGAGTTTATTATCTTTTATTTTCCGCTGTGTGATGTAAGACTAAGTTGTATTATGGATCTGATGTAAGATGCCGTGATGATACTTTATATGATTTGTCGACTTATATGTGTGACTGTTCCTGGGCACACATGAGTATTGTGCATTCAATTTTATCCTTAAAATTGGGTGTGACAAGATGGAATTGGAAGACCAAATGCCAAGTCTAATGCAGGATCCAGTCAAGCAAACAAATTTCACATTTAAAATTACTTCTAGCCTTCACAAAGCAGTACAGCTGCAAGAGACAGGAAGAACTTACAAATCTACAAGTGCAAAAGAAATGACATGCAGGCAGTGACCATCTCTATAAATTTCACTTTTAAAAGTATATAATTACCAAAATTTCATAGAAGAAATACCACAAGACAGTGACCATCTCCAGAAATTTCACATTTGAAAGTATTACCTTAGTTTCACAATCCAAGGCAACAAATATATGATTTGCATGCAAAAAAGTCTTGTTCTTCTACAAATAGCAATGCAAAAATCACAGAGCGCTATTGAACTGAGCTAATAGAAAAGAAACTATTGGTCATTCCAGATCCATTAGAGAGCAGTATGTCAAAAGCACAAGAACTACATATATTTCACCTGGAGCAAAAGAACAAGAGCAAAAGAACTCGAGAAATGGCTCAGATTTACCCATTATCAGCATGACAACTGCAACTTAATTTTACCTAGAACTTAATTTAATTCTCTCTCTCTCTAATGGGAATTGAACTGGCCACATAACTGGTTGCTTGTACTAGTACAAGCCATCCTAGTTAAGCAGCAAACAGAACAAAATATCCCAAGTACCAGCTCATAAGGTGCTAAAGTGCAGAAGTTCTCTAATGGAAACTTGATTCATCACAGTCACTCAAGAGTAGTATAAAACAAAAAAGTCACAAGGCATAGTTAGGGAAGGGGAGAGCAGCGCGGCACGAAACTGCAACATAGAAGGTGGTAATTAGATTACTATAAGTATGATGGCTGCGGTCACTAATATGTATATTACGAAAAAAGAGCAAACCTGTTCAATATTAGTAAAAGTTGCCTCCTCTGGAATCTCAGAAATTCTAGATGACAATAGGTGACGAGAACGTTCACATGTGTTGTACAATGTATCCCTGACATCACCAAGTATGACACGATATGGTTCATTTGGAGGAACTTGCTTCCAGAATTACATCTACATTCGTGTTCGTGAACAGTACACTGTTGTGTTAATTTATACTTGACCTCATTGACACACGGAGGTCTATTCCATATAGCATTCAGCAAGTGAGGGAACTTATTGGCATCTCATATGCCTTCAAGCAAGTGTTGTATAATACTTAAGTTGGAGAGCAAAATATTCAGAAAGGCAGCTCATGGGAAAATGGCACAACAATGAACTCAAGTTGGGAACAAAATGCTAGTGCTGCGAATGATTCTGGTGACTGGGGAGGCTGGGGTAGTGGAGTTAGAGCTGCTGCAAAGCCAGCAGATCAAGATAATTCATGGGAAGGGCATGCTAAGGTGCTGGACAATTCCACTGATTGGGGAGGCTGGAATAGTGGAGGTGGAGCGGCTGCAAAGCCAGCAGATCAAGATAATTCATGGGAAGTGCATGCTAAGGTGCAGGACAATAATTCATCAGAATATATTAAACTACACATAGAAAAATAATTGACATGGTGTAGAGCAAATAACAAGCTTACTAACCTACAAAAGTTTGTTGATTGCAAAGAGTCAAGCATTGTGTACAGACTAATATTAACATCAACCTAGAGGCATGTAAGGTTACCTTGTCTCAGGTGCATGTATGTCAGAAACAGCAGCAACAACCATCCAGCATGCAGCAACAGCAAAGAGCAGCAAGCCTGCAAAAGGGCTTATTAAAATAGAAACACTACAATGTTTGAACGGTCAAAAAATCAATGAGCCAACAAAGTACTGTACCAATAGAAGATTTACGAAAACAGTTCCTTAACTAATTGATCCATGCCAGCTGCTCCATGGCATCACTGTGCCCTGCTTCATGACAAATAAAGTTATAGTCAAAACTACTGTGAAGCACCAGACTTATGCCATGCTACTGCACTAGATCGACCATTTCAGCTTTAGGCAGGTCATACGGTTGCAAATCTTCAAATTCCTTTTCAGCAGCAGCAAGATCTTCCGTAGTCTTGTGTTGCCATGTGTTTCTTGAGTTTGCTACAAAATGCAAAAAAAAAAAATTCTCAAGCAAACATAAACATAAATCATAGGAGCAAGATTCGACTTTATCACTTCTAGCGTTTTCAGTTCCTTCTCCCTTCAGAGCACACAAAATTATGCATATGCCGAAGGAAGAAAAATAACTTTGGTGGCCTCACGTAGTATTGTATTGCTCATGCCTCCGTACATGTTCTCGGCCTATGTGACACTTAAATCTTTCTGCTCTCTAACCAAATCAAATTTACTAGTTATTTGGTTTGTGTGAGAAGTAATGCATAGCTCTTTCCAAAGTCTTTCTACAAGGACTTACACTAACAATGCTATCATTATTTCCTTGCAAAATTTTGGGATGTAACTTGCACAAGGAACAGTACCACAATAATTTCCAGTATTCCTATTTGAATGACACCTAACAGAAGGATATGATTTAATTTGCAGCAAATCTGTGCAGCTCCACATCCTAGAATGGAACTTTTGTACTCTTTCTTAACTCTGGCATCCTTGCTAACATATTTTAACTCACACCTACAATACCACAGGCTGCAGATTTCTTTTTTTTTATCTATATAATGGTCACTGAACTTAGTATCATTAAGAATCAATGTAATTGGTTAAAGATTCAACCATATCTCCAACGACAGGCTATTCCCAGATCTATTAAAGGCAATTAAAAGGACAGAGAGAGCTGATAGGGTTACACAGCACACACCTTGATGCTGATCTAAAAAGCTTGATGATGCCATGAGCAAGGTGGAGACAAGAGTAGCCGGATCTGCCGCTGCCTTGGGGACCGCCGCCGCCTTGGGGCCGCCGTCACTTGGGGTGCGCACCACCGACTTGGAGCCGCACCGATGAGAGCAGCTGGGGGGCGCACCGCTACCTTGGGGGCCGCCGCTGCCTTTGGGGCCGCCCGAGCGAGCAAGCGAGGCCCCAGACGCTGGAAATAGTAGGCCGCCACACGCGCCCACTGGGCTCCGCCTGGCCTCCTGGCTGGCCACGTGCCACCCGGCGGCGTGGGGGTGAGCCGGCCGCCGCTTAGATCCGCCTGACCCACCGCGATGATGAGAGAGGAAGCGGCATGACGATGACGACAGCACGAAAGCGGCGGCTGCATCTGGCGGAAGCGCTAGGGTTGGTACACCATTTATATATGTGTTCAAAGCTAAGCACGGCCGGATCACGGGAAGAAGGTAGGGGAGGGGGGAGCGGGAGGGGACGGCACGGCCGCCGAGGAAGAAGGGAGGAGGGAGGGCGGGATCCGGCGGAGGATGGGCGGGTCAAAAGGGAGGAGGGAGGGTGTGGGGGGCTGGGGAGGGGAGGGGAGGGTGCGGTGGGGAAGAAGAAGGGGAGGGAGGGGAGCGTGCGTGCGTGCGTGAGGAGCCGAGCAGGCGAGTCCGCGGCGGGTTAGGGTTAGGACTTCTTGGTTTTTTTTCCGTGCGTGTGTACATTTTTTCTGTGCGTTTTAAAATAACCGACAGAATAATAATATTTTTTCTGTGCGTGTATATATTTTTCCTGTGCGTTTTTAAAGAACCGACAGAATAAGTTTTATTTTTCTGTGGGTGCTGATTTTTTCCGTGTGTGTATTGTCACGCACAGAAAAATCATACAATTATTCTGTGGGTTTTTTTATTTTTCTGTCGGGATATTTTGAAACCCTTTTCTGTGCGTATAAAAAAACGCACAGAAAAATTCGTCACCCACAGAACAATTCGAGTTTCCAGTAGTGATTCTACACAATTGAAAACTGGCCTGATGGCGAGTTGACGACTGGCGTTTTGAAGGGGCTGTTTGGTTGCCCGCCACCGATTGCCATGCTTAAAGTTAGGCTCGCAATGGTGCCTTAGGCGGGTGTTTGGTTTGTAACCGAAGCAAGGCTTGCCACACTCCAGCTACAGTACTCGCCGCCGTTTTCTACGTCGAATGTGCAGCGAGCTTTTCCTCCGCCTCCGCCTTGCCACAAACTCTACCACAGCGCCACCCCTCCTCCTGCTATGCGGCACCCTGCCATCACCGCTCGTCCCTTCACCACAAGCCCGTCCGCGGCGACCACCGGCTGCACAGGGCCTGGCACACCATGGCACCGCGCCCAGCTATGCTATGCTCGGAGTTGAAGATGACTGTGGGGCACGACTGCTGCTTGGTCCTGGCGTGCCCACTGCTCGTCCGTGTCCCTTTGGACATGCGCCCTAGCGCCGCCACGCTACTGCGCCCAGCCATGGTCGGCGGAGTCGAAGACGACGGGCCTGGTGGTGGCCAAGCACGGGGCCAACGAGCATGGTGGTCGTCGGAGGAGGCCGGACTTATGATTTGAGTTGAGCGGAGGCCGTCCATGGCGGAGGCCCATGGCTCGACTGCTGCATGCCTGTATAGCGCGGTGTGCAAAGGGAAGTGGGCAGGGTAGCAAAGGGAAGCTTTGAGAAGGAAGGGGATAGAGAGTTAGAGACGAGAGAGGCGTGCGCTCAGCTGTGGACGGAAGGTTCAGTGCCTTGGGTCCAGTTTAGTTTGCAAAAAATTTTGCAAAATTTTTCACATTCCCCGTCACATCGAATCTTTGGATGCATGCATGAAGCATTAAATATAAATAAAAAATAAAACTAATTACATAGTTTAGACGAAATTCACGAGACGAATCTTTTAAGCCTAATTAGGCTATGATTGGACACTATTTGACAAATAACAATAAAAACGCTACCGTACTCATTTTGTAAATTTTTTTGCATCTAAACAAGCCATTGGTGGGTGGGGATTGATTGTGTGGATGAGAGCACTCCTGCGGTTTTCCATTTTTTAAGTATTTTTTTTATTTTCTCCATCGATGGTTTCTAAGTGAGATTTCTTTTCTGTACTTTTTCTACGCTAATCCAAACATCCATTCCAACAAAATATTTGTTTATTTTATGGGATGATTTGTTTTCTATAATTTCTTGAGAGCTAAGCACATACTTAACACTATGATTAATTACCTACACCATTGTCAAAATATTTGTGACAGTTATCCTCATGAATGGAATCGGGGCATTTTAACCAAGGCTGCAATCCAAACAGTTACCATAACTTTTTACCTAACATTTATAGCAATAAACCAAACAGCAGCCACACTATTTTTGTCACATCTTAGTTATCAACCAAACACTCCTAATTTACCACAGAATGTGGCAAGCCATAAGTGTGGCCTGTACCTAACCAGGCATGGCAAACTGTGACCGGCAACCAGTACGTAGCCCATGACTTGACTTGGAGCTCGCACTAGCTCCGCGCGTCCGGTCCATACGTCCTGCTGCCTTCTCTCTGTACACAACATGACTGACTCTGATGATGGTGGTAGGTACTAGGGTCCAGTTTAGTTCCAGAAAATTTTGCCAAATTTTTTAGATTTCCTGTCACATCGAATCTTTGAACGCATGCATAAAGTATTAAATATAAATAAAAAATAAAACTAATTACACAGTTTAGACGAAATTTACTAGACGAATCTTTTAAAACTAATTAGACTATGATTGGACACTAATTATCAAATAACAACCAAACGTGCTACAGTGCATTTTGCAAAAATTTTCACCCTCTAAACAGGCCCTAGGTACACGGGCACTGCGATAGCCGCGTTCGTGTTACACAGCATACAGCAACAACCGAAGACAAGCACGAGACGAGGTGTCAATCGACGTAATTGTACGTTAATGATATCTACTGTATCTAATTAAATAGAAGATCTCTGCAAACATATTTTTTCTGTTTTCTTATCCAGCCAAAGTTGTCTCTCTTTTTCTCAAGGTCTGGGTCTTCCTTTTATAGGGTACGGTTATATAATTTTTGCGTACAAAAATGCCCTTCCGCCAGTTAAGGCATATCCCGACTGTGTCTAAACTATACTCCGTGCGCAAGGTCGTATGGCCACATGGGCCCTAACAGACACTTCTCACAACATCGCCGTTGGTACCTATGGACTATGGTGATGTCACAGTCGAATCTCGGCCCCAAAATAAATTACCCCCACTGAAAAAATGCAATTATCGTATTTTGAGAAATCAAATAATTTAAACATTGACTAAAATTATATAAAAAAGTACAAACACTCATAAACCAAAATAATAATTATTAGATTAGTTATACAATATAATTTCATAATAAATTTATTGAGAGTTGCTATATTTCAGGTGTCTAAAATATAGTTGTTTCTGTACGCTAGCAAACCTTACCGGGCCCACGAAAATACCTGTTTTGGAATAACAGGTGCTACCGGGCCCTCCAAACCTTAGGGCCTGTTTGGATTGGAGAATTTTCAAAGGAAAATCGTAGGAACCAAGAAACAGAGGAAAGGAAACCTTTGAGTGTGTTTGGAATGGAGGAATTGAGATTTCCTTTTCTTTGGATTCCTATAGCTAGATGTCGATTTCATAGGAAGAAAAGAATCCACTCCAATCACTTGTTTTCTTTTCCTTAGTGATTGCTCGAGCAAATGAGTGATTACGAGATGGCGGCAGGTGTCATCTGGGAGCATAGCATCATGAGCATGGACCACAGCGACGAAGTGGAGGGAAAAAAGAGCAGTTAAGGTGAGAAGACCATGGTGGGGTCATATCCGTGCCTAATAGATATAGTAATTAGTACCCATATTTGCCTAACATGTTACAATTCCTATGTTATAAATTCTTGTGTTCCAAACAGCTTAAATTTTTTGTTTGTG